TTGTTTGTATTAGGTTCAAAGTGCAACTGCGTTCTTCCCGAAGCCCTTAAGACTTCTGTTGTGCGGCACGATCCAAACTATCAACCATACGATAGTGAGAAGAAGAGGCTGAGATGTGCCTTCGGTTGCCTATCTTCCGTGTCCATGCGGCAAAAGTCTTTGTTACTTCTACAATCACCCTTAAGAGGCTGCTTACCTCCCTGGGATTCAAAGAAATCAAACAATGTGAATAAACATGATGGTTTTCCTACTGCATATTGGTGACTACATGGCATGAAAAGAACACAATGGCGCTTTAAGCAGGTGCCTCGAAACTCTGGAACAATCAAAATATGGTATCTTCTATCCGTCAATGGTGTTAGGATAGATATTTTTTTTTGAAGAAAAAACACAATTTGTGACATGCATACCTCAGTGGCCATCAATCTTCGGACATTATTAGCATATTGCTTTGGGTCATCCTTCTCTTGCAGCGAGGGGTAGTAGATAGGCAAGTCTATCACTTCCATGTGATTTACAAATTGACACAGAAGTAGAACAACGTGCCGTACCTACAGGGAGCAATACAAAATGCATCATCCAGAAAAAAAATGTTTCCGATATCGAATGACCAGTTAGTTGTGTATTACATAGCTACTTAATTAGGGAAAATATAAATTTTATTATGAAAATTTACAGTCATCTTGAATCTGCTTAAGAAATACTCAATCACCCCTGTTATTGAGTCCCAGGTTGGACTAAATCTTTGGTATGGGTACCTTAATATAACAGTCACCACAAGTGCTCCAGCCAAATATGCACCAGCCTTGAGTGGGAGAAGGTAATCCCCATTTGTAGTTGTTCATTCTGTTGTCAAGATGAATATGAATCAAACTCTTACTCATCGGGAACTTATAGGAATATGAAAAATTTATGCAGCTATGAAACATCAGCTACATACATGCATGCATACAGACCCACACTACTAGGGTATAGCATGCACTATAAACTAACCATGTTATAAATGCATATAGCGGATCAAAACGATGATTAACCTGGAAAGAGCATCATCATTGGAGCAGATCTATTTTGATGAGCTTCATGAACTCTGTCAGTCACAACACCTGAAAGAAAGATCATTTATGCAATTTACTTTGAATCAATGGTAAGTGGTGAAGAACATGTTTGAGAGATCTATAGTTGTTCTGCCTGCAACAACTTTGAAGTCTGATGATTTCGACTCCGGTTGAACGTAGACACAACTGAGGCATTTGCTGTAACAAACAAGCCAAAATATCATTCATCACTCCGAAACAACATGTAACCCTATACGGCTATAACAGCTATAACCATCCAAAACAACTATAAATTTAGGCTTAAGAACTCAAACACTTGCAAGTAAGCAACACTTTCCAAAACAAAGATTTGTATATATCCATAAAAACATTGCTGCAACATAAGCAATGAACCTAGTAGATTAAGAACTTAAATGTGAAGTAAAACAAAAACTTCCACCACAGCTGTATCAAGCTTGAAAGACCAGTAATGAAGAAACTTAACAGTTTGACAATTAGAGAAATTTAGGGGGTTGAAGTAAACTCACCTGATGAGACCAACTAAAGGAATTTTAGCCACAGATCTCTTCAGCGATACAATCCAAGGGTCCCAATTGACAAAAACCAAACAAGAAACGTGTCAGTTAAAAATGTTGAAAAATATTAAATTAAAATTTTAGTTATAATCGAGGGGCTAAATAAGATATTTTTCATTAATTTAGTATGTTATTCACCCCTTAATAATATTTAACGATTGTTATTTATTATTTTTAACGAAATTTAAAGTTTAATGTCTATTTTGTAACTTTTATAAATTCAATGATAAATAAAATCAATTTAAAAATTTTTGTGCCAATTTATGAATTTTACCCTATTTTGTATTAGTGATGAATTTCAATGCATGTCAATAGTAGTACTCATCCAGTGATTAATAAGATAGAGACAAAATAACAAATAATAGTCTATATGTTAAATTAAAATTTAAACTAAAATACATAAGGAATAAATTTAACAAATGATTTTAGTGATTAAAAAATATTATTTTTTAAAAAATTTAAATTAGAATAATTATATTTATAACATATGTACGTGTTATTAATAATTAAAAATTATAAAAAAAAATATTAAAATAATAATCCTCTAATATAAAAATAATATCCCACAGGTGACGAGTTCTCCTTGTATCGTAAAATATGTAGTAGATCCAAAAATAATTTGTTGACATCCCTTTTTACCTAAATAGTTTTAGGATCCACGGTAATGGGCCAAAAAAACCCATTATTACGCACGTACTTTTAACGCGTGGGCTTTCGGTCCAAATACATATGCCTTCCCGCCTCTTGGAGCCGTAACAATTCGACTTCCGGTTGAGAATTTTAATATATAGGTCATTTGTTATTATACACGTGAAATTTGTCATTTTTATATAACGAGTTTTATAAAGTATTTTTAAAAAATAGTATTTTTCATATGAAATGAATCAAAATTGTAAAAAACTATGAAGAAATGAATTAAAATTGTATAAAACTGATAAGTTTCACTAATACTTTAACATATGACTTAAATTTTAAAATAATTCTCAATCACCTCATTTTTTTCAAAAAAATGTAAACCATGTTAATAGTCTCTTTTATTTTCGGTCTAATCGACTTTTGTCACCGATTTTTTAATTAAGTGTGTTTGATCCTTTATATTATCGGATCGTTTGATTTAAGTCGATGCGATAAATTCCGTCAAAAAAATTAAAAAAATCCACAAAATTCACGGGTCTTCTTCTTCTAACACTGAAGACAGACATTTTTAGACATAAAAGAACCAAAGCTAAAATACAACAAGACAATTACAAACTTCCACTGCCGTCTAGCAAAAAGATGCATACAAATGATACAAATGATTCTATATGCAATGTATCATTTACCAGTTTTTTTTGTTGTTGCTATTTTTATATTAATTTATTGTTAGTTTTTTTTGGTAGTAGAAACTTGAAACCCACCAGCTTGGAAGGTCTTCTTTTTATAGCTGCACCAGCTAAACTATTTAGTGATGCGATCATTTATTTGTTGTCTGAAATCAGATCACCATGGCCACTCGGGCAGCTTCCCCACCTGCGAATATTGGTTTCACCTGCACCAATGAGGAGCTCTTTATCGGTCTTGACAAACTGACTAGTGGATCTCCCCTACCAAGTAATGTTATTGATGTCAATCCTTACAGATATGAGCCCCGAAGCTTACCAGCTTAGAGCCTCTCTTTTTTCTTTTACCGTAACTTATTATCTATAACTCCCTGAATTTTGCTATGTTCTAATGTGCATAATTGGAGCAAATAATCATTTCTCGTCTGACCCTTAATCAATAAGCTTTCTTTCTGATAATCAATAAGATTTTGCTTCCATCCTCCTCTCACAAGACTGTTGCTTTGCCTGCCACTGTAAAATAGATGTATGCTCGATGTTCTTGTATCTACGCATTAGTTACAAAGCCTTTGTCTTCTCTACGAGCTGAAAAGTTGTGTCTTCTGTGACTCTCTGAACTTATTCTCAAGTTCTATTCGTGTAATTAAATTTATCATGAAGGCATGGGAGACTTCTGGAATTTTTATGTCATGCGATAGAGTGAGCATCTAAAATGAAACAGTTAGGATTGATTTTGTTCTTAAATTTGTGTCTTCTAGGGTTTCGAGGCTTCAGTAGCTCAAACGATAACACTGATATTGAACGGCAAAACTTTCGAGATAATGTTCTCGAATTTTTTATTTAACGATATAACGTACTCCCAAGATTAATTGCTCAAATACGGCGAATTACACTGTGTTGGCAGTAGGTCGCCATGCCTTCCGGGCGACCTACGACATGGCAACTTCCCAGCATAGGTCGCCATGCGACATGGTAGGCCGCCATGCACGTTGGGCGACCTTGTCCTGCGCCCTGCTCCCCGCTGCATGCTCGTCTGCTCTCACTACATGCAGGCGACCTCTTCCGACGTGCATGACGACCTCTTCAGACGTGCATGGCGCATGCAAAGCTTCATCCTCTCACCACAGCTCGTAGCAAAGTTTCATCCTCTCACCACAGCTCGTAGCAAAGCTTCATCCTCTCGCCACAGCTCGTATAGAACACTTTTGTCGTGATTTCATTATTGCATGCATGAGGGAGACAGGGGTGAGGGAGGCAGAGCCACCTTTGTCTTGATTTCAGCAGAATCACGGAGGAGTTCGAGCCACTTGCATGGCGACATACAAGGTCACACCGAGTGTATGGCGACCTATGATCTCGTTTGGCTTGCATGGCGACCAATCCATGCACTGTATAATTCACACCATTTGAACAATTATTTCTTGGACAACATTATCACGTGAATTGTTTTTTTCACAGCAATATCTCTTGAGTTTTGCTGATATTGAACATAGCCTCTGGAAGCCAAAAGAGGAGGCCCGTGAAGTCTTCTCAAACTCGGATATTTTTGGTTGGACAACCACTCTTGAATACTACAATGGTCAAGTCCCTTATGAGCGTAAAACTAACTGGGTGATGCAAGTTTTCAGCATAACTCAGAAGAGACTGTGCGATGAAATGCAAAAAAAGGTACTCTACCAAACCGGAAGACGTACAAGCTTACAGTTTAACAACATGTTTGTTCTATTTCAGTTATCAACTCAACCTGCCAGTAATGACATGCAGCAGAACTTATTTAGTGCTAAAATCAACGCCGAAAATCATTTACCAGAACCTCCTGTTCTGGATACTAATAGCAGTACAAGAATTGGTTCATCGAGGGACCGTCAGTTATCTCAGTATCTGCATGTTTACTTTGGTCAGTTGATCTATTTGATTTCATTTTCCTTCTGGGATTATTTAGGACAATAAATCATACAAATCTTTCAACCTGATGGCTTTGACATCAAGATATCAACTTGGGCATTTAACATTGAAACAACTGAAGTCACCTAAAATATCAACAAGTTGCCTCTTGGCCATGAAATATCTGCTCTGATTAGGATTTAGGACTATCCTACTTTATAGTTTAGCTATACTTCTACTCTAGTTAGTCACAATGCAAATACTTGTGCTACGGTTAAGATAACTGGACTGGATGATTTTCAGAATATGGAAATCAAATGATTCGAGTCCTAGGATGATTTCCAAGATTGATAAGATAACAGTAGACAACTAGATCGAAAACCGTGAGCCACTTGTTAACACGAGGAATGTTGGGAGAGAATTTGAAGAGGATGATCAGTTTTTCTTATACCTGTCTACTTCTTTCAATAATTAAATTTTGCTGTTGTTCTGTTTGTCTATTTGAGGTGTAGCCATAATTTGTAGGTGAACAAGCATTATGAGACAGAAGTATTGGGTGTTGCAGAGAGACTTCTGATTCCGGAGCATCAAGGAGAAAACATAGTTGAAATGGATTTTTCTCGGTAGCTAAAATTGATTTATTTTCAGGAGGTGACTTTCTGGAATTGAAAGATCTCGACAACCCTACATCTTCTTCAAGCTCAGAAAATTCAAGTGCCATGAGCATTTCATCAGATGAAGGTTTCGATTCAATGGCTTTCTTGCAAGACCTTGATCAGGACCAAGTTTTCGAACGCAACGACACAGGTAAAAAGTTGAATGTCTCTGCATCCAACAGACTGGAAGAGGGGGTTATAGTTCCGGCCGCTTTAGGTATGCTCGTTGCATTCCATCTTTCTGATTTGTATCATATGAGATGTTCATACAATCTACTAACCCCGCCAGTCATTTTATGTACTATAATGCCTTGTACTGGTTGCTTAGCAGGAACTCTTTTTAGTATTCCGGGCAGCAATTCAGATAGTGAAGAATTCTTTAAACAACTGGTTTTATGTGCAATTCATCTTGTGGGAGTAGAAACCTCAACAAGGTCTCAAAGTATGAGAAAGGGAATCAAAGGGTTGAAGGTCCGTCATCGGTGAAGTCATCACCATCATCTGGTGAATCATCGTCACCCAGCGACAGCAGGTAGAAGGAAGAGAGATGGTTTTGGTAGAATGAAAGAACTTAGACAGAAATACTGCTGCTTCATGCCATTTTATACGTAGTTATTTGTAAAGATAGTAAATTAGTAATCACATGATTTGGTAGATAAATTATATTATCTCATCATAACCTAGCTCTTAACAAGCTAGTGAACACTCGTCATATTTTTGTGCAGATCGACGCTATGTTGTAGCCTTCTTCATCATCTTTGACTTTTGACAAAAACAAAGCATAATTAAATCTGTAGCGCACGATCGACGAGAAAGCACTTACACGATTACGTGGCGTTTTCCGGTTGGTCAATTTAGAGTCGTCGGGATCCATCGCGAACACCAACCAATAAACAAATACCAGTCTCTCTGACTGAGATAAAAGCACCGAGTTTTCATTTCCCTTTAAATTTGTTGCCTTTTCAAAATCACTGTTTTCCCTCCCCACAAAATTCCAATTTTTATCCCTACTTTCTCCCCCTCTCTTGCTTACGAAAACACTTCAGACCTATTAACCAATGCATCATCTTCCGATCCAATGCAATTTTGACCCTTAACGGTTCCCAAGTCCCATCGAGTTTTACCCCAGCCTGATTTGACTCACTGAGTTGGTTTGGTGGAAAATTATGCTGGAGGCAATGGAGGGTTCCGGCAATGGAGGTGGTTTCACACAATTACTGAGCTGCGGGGACAGTAGTGAAGAGGAACTCTCGGTGTTGCCTCGTCACACTAAGGTGGTTGTCACTGGGAATAACCGTACTAAATCGGTTCTCGTTGGTCTTCAAGGCGTGGTCAAGAAGGCTGTTGGACTTGGCGGGTGGCATTGGCTGGTAATTCTTTTGAATTTTCCAATTTCGATGGAAATGGGGTTTGGGTGGGTTTATCCGGCAATTGTTTTACTCTTTATTTCCTGAGTCTATAATGTGGATGTTTTTTCTTCAAGTTTTAAGTAAAATCAAATTTGATTTTGTTCAAAGCAGCGTGGATTCGATTTGATCTATTATCGAGTTTTAGTTTTACTTCGTTTATTTGTACTTTTTTTCCTCTTTGTGATCTTTGCATTGAATCTTTCTCTCTGAGCCAATTGCATGTCCTGTTGTATAAGATTTATTTTTGAATAAAACTGCAAATTTAGCTTTCCACTGTCTAAATTTGCTTGGATTTTGATACTTTCTAGTAAAAGTAATGGTCTTAATATTGCTCACGAGTTGCAAATTGAGGTATTGGATTTGGATTTTGATTGCATGTAAGTGTCTATCATTGGATCTGGCATTTTAAAGTATTTTAACGATGATTCATGATTTTTTTTGTGGGGTGGGGGGTCTTCTTTTTCTTGTACTTGGTGTTCGAAATCTGTTCTAAAGTCTTGATATTAAATTTTTAAATTAAATTTATTAGGCGTTGATCTTCATATTTGGTACTACATTTCTGGATTGCATAATTGGGTATTCTTGGGACTTTGTTGAGCTTGGTTTGAGAGTGTTTAAGAAACCCATATTTATTCTGAATTAGTATCAATCTCTCAATGTTTTTGCTTATCTCGAGCTTTTCGAAACTTGCAATTGTTTCTTCAAAAATTATATAGTTCTTTTCATTTGCCTTCTCTATCTATTATTTCTTGTCAAATATCCAAATCCACTTGTTGGATCATTTACTTTGTAGTTGATGGTTATTTGCGTTTGTCCAACTAATAAAATCACAGGTTCTTACAAATGGCATAGAAATAAAGCTACAGAGAAATGCCCTCAGCGTGATTGAAGCTCCCACTGGTAAAGAAGACTACGACCACCTCGAATTAGGGAACATGCAGTGCAATGGATCAGATATGAGTGAGCTCTCTTTTCCTCCTCATTTCAAATCTTGCAAATTCTGGAGAGGGTTATTCATTTTGAGTCTAAATTCACTTGTTTCTATGTTCTTTTTGGGCATACATGATTTTTTCTCTTAAATTTATCAGTACAAAAGTTGTTTTCTTTACTTGTGTTGACTTTGGGGTACTAATAAAATTTGTCCTGGAAGTGGTGTGCTATGGTGTTTAATGGCTTTTGATCTCTAATGATACTTAATTTTTGGATTAACAATTCCAATACTTCCTTTTGATATAGTGATTTGGATGATGATATTGTGTAGTGAAAAGTAGTTGAGGTTTGTACATGTAGGGAATATTGTGTCTTTACCTTTAACTTTCACTACTTCTAATCTAAAAGCTCCATTGTCTCATTTCTTTATCTTTTTATTGGTCCCTGCATGCTTTTTTTTCTCAATGTTGCTTGCTCCATCTCACTTTTCAGCATCTGAAGACACTCAAAAGTCCTACAGATCCAGGCATAGATCACATAAATCGAGGGGGTCTTCTCACAAGACTTTGAGCAGATCTCTTTCTTGTGACTCACAGTCCAAGAGTTCTGTTTCAACACCCCGCGGATCCACGGTATATGATTTCTAAAACGTTGTATTTATTTCTTGCATAGTTTTCGATATCACCAGTTGCTGGTATAGGTTAGCTATCTATTTTTGGCCTAATTAAGGTTTATTTTCATAATATCCGCTCTGTAGAAAGTTGATCTCAGCAAACTTGAGATGGCTGCTCTGTGGAGATATTGGCGACACTTCAATCTTGTAAGCTCCTCCCATTGAAACATTAAATAGAAATATAATTTACCAGCACGGCCTCGTGTGCAAGCATAACCGAAGAAAAACGAGTTAGAACGTCTCATTGCTTTTGCTATTTCTAGGTGGAGGCCATTCCCAATCCATCAAAAGAGCAACTAGTTGATATCGTCCAGAGGCATTTCATGGCACAGGTAACTTAACTGCGATAACTTCCCTTTGATTTTTTCTTCTTCCTTGTTTATGTATGGCAAGTAGTTCTCTATCTATTAAGCCAGTTGTATATTAAGTTTTTCACCTCCTTTTCGTATGAGATATCAGTTTCTGGAAAAAAAAAAGTTATGATAATGTGGCAAAATTACCTTCTGTTGGTGTAGCAAATGGATGAGCTGCAGGTGATCGCGGGATTTGTTCAGGCTGCAAAGAGATTGAAGATTGTTTGCAAATGACACAGGGGAGAATGTTGTGACCGGCTCTCAAACTCTAACATATACTTGCTATCGTAACGTTGTTCGTATTTGCTTGGTATTCGGTAGTGATATCTGTAACATATGTGTATCTCTTAGTTGGAGCTATAGAGGTTGAGTTCCATTATGGTAGAGTAGTTAATGCAGATATAATCCAAAACGACACCTCCAAGAAAGCTTCCTTTCCAAAGCTTGGTTGAATGTAGCTGTGACTTGTGGAAGTGGATTTCTTGAAATGTGTATATATATATATATATATTCACGGTTGCCTTTAGGTATCAATCCCTTAAGGAAAGAAGGTATCCGATGTGATCAGGACTCATGGTGGATGTGAGAAAGGTGCCATTATATCAAAACAATTACTGCATTTTCATTGACAAACCAGTGAAGAATTACATGGTTCATATAGCACTTGGTTGCTGAACCAAGAAGCAAACTTCCTAACAGACTTTGACAAATATAACCGTGTAACAACAACCTAACAAATTATGGTTCTGATTGTTTGCAACCCAGCATACACCATCAACTATGAGCTTAACTACAAGCTTCTTGAATCTTCTCCATGCACACCATGCAACATACCCTGGAGCTCGAGCAATGTTAGAGCATGATCATTGATGTTCACTAACTCATTATGCTAACATTCCCTCTACTTCTTTTGTTCTTCTGACCTTGAACACACTATTACAGCAAACTCTAAAAACTAATTACAACTAATTTTTAACAGTGGAAAACAGCATCTTTACAAGGAGAGGCCTTTTCTCGACTCCATAAAGTACTAGAAAATGGAGCCTTTTCTCAACTCCAAAATTTTCAAATAAAACTACAATTTATACGCAATACAATTTGATTTTTATATTTTAACCTCCTTACCCTGGTGTGATCAAACTCAACACGGATGGAGTTGTCAAGAAGCCTACGATGGAAGCGGCGAGTGGCGGTATCCTTCGAGACTCTGAGGGCACGTGATTATCAGGCTTTTCCCACAGTATTGGTCATTGCTCAATCCTACATGCTGAACTTTGGGCCCTCCTTAATGGTTTAAATATAGCATGGAATCAGGGTTACCGACAAGTTGGTGTTGAGATAGATTCTAGATAGCCACAAAGCAGTCAAGATTTTCTCGTCTCCTGCCCCTTCTTTGAGCCGACCCTTGTCTTTAGAATCTGCAGTATTCTCCAACATCACTGGATCGTTAGGATACTAGTCATAACTTAGATACTAGTCATTGAAATATAGCATTCAAGTACATGGATATTAATATTTTCAAATTTAATCCTTTTACTTCAACGGATTAAATAATACTGAATATCATAACTTAGATACTAGTCATTGCAGGAACAATACATATTTATCATTTTTATTACGCGGTTCGACATATGCACTTGCGTTACCATTTGTAGTCATCATATATTCTTTAAAAAAATCATTGAAAATCACAAAAAAAAATAAAATCTAAATCAAGTATAAACTATATTCGACTTTTACGAACATAGTACGAAAAAGAACAGAGTATGATAGTCTTTGCAATTTGCAGGGTACATGAAGTGACCTCTATAACTTTATTTGGTAAAATAAGATTTGGGGAAGCGAAGTTCGAAAGTATGGCAGAACATGAGCAAATATGGCTTCCTAGTTAAGCCAATGTACTTGCAACTTTCAAGTGAAAATGGCCTTCGGGGTTGTAAAAACGGGAAAGCTATACCCAAAAAGTGGGAAATAATCTCAATCAGTCACGAATTTGGGTCCCCTTGTCCATGTGCCAATGGAGCCCCCACTCTGAGCTGTATCCCTTCTTTTAAGCTCTAGTAGAGTAGACCAATGGAAACAAACGTGGTCTCAAACCACTTGCAGTTGCAGGCAGTACAA